GTTTTGTAATTCCTCTAAAAATTTCTGCTGCCCAGGCCGCCAGAGCGCCAAAATATGTTTTCGCACATGCGGCCGCGCATACATGTGTTCAAAAAATTAAATGTTATCGTTTTGCACCATACTGAATAAATTTCCCTGCTCAGTCACATAAATGAAGTCACTAAGCAGTTTTGTAGAGTGAAGGGGGTGGGGGCTAGCTGTCTTCCGAAAAGATTTCTTAGTATGCCTTTCATCTTTTGCAGGCCGATTCTGAAATTTTGGAAGGGAGCTTGGCGGCAGCACATCCCCAAAAAGTTTTTTACGTAGCCTTCCCTCCACGAGCTTGGTCATCATTGCACTATAGTTATTGACATTTATGAATCATACAATTTCTTTATTGATATTACACCAGTCAACATCTGTACTCAACAGTCATTGCAGTTCAAACATATCCACTGAGATGAAGAAATAATATTCTTTTGCATCTAACTCCAGTCAATCGCAACTCCATTTTGCATTGTGCCAATTCCAAGATAATTCTATCTTCTATCCTTTCTATCATAAGGTACAAAAGTTGTAAATAACCTCTTCAGCCTTCTTTCTCATAATGGCTTTTTGCTGATTTTGCACTCACAGGTTGTCGTGAAGTGCCACGTGCGCTCTCAATTCAATTCAAACTGTAAGCCACGATTGACACCGCTGTACACTAAATTGCACCAATCATTTTCACATTTTGGTGACTCTTTTATCACGTAAGGCAACTCTGCGCACATGGAAATCTACAGGGCATTCGAGAAATCGTGACGAAGGCGCGGCCGCGCGCGACACGCACGCATACCCGACAACCGCTATTTTCTTTGTTTTCATCTCTACTCAAATGGTTTCTCTACCTACATATGATAGCATTTAGACACTGGAAGTGATGAGCTGAGAGTTAAGATGATTCCTTTTTGTACGAGAGTTTTCTGCTCTTGTGGGCGCATAGACCTTAGCCAAATCGTCGTCGCGATTTTATGAGTGACCTATACTTATCATATTCAACTGGAAGTCATTCATATTTGGACGTCATTCACGCATTTGGGATTCCAGCTGTGAATCCAGTCGTTAGGCAAACGAGAACAACAATGACAGGGACCAGGGTGCGCATCAAATTGTGAAAGTTTAAAAATGCTTGTCCCAAGCGGCTAGAAATGGACTGGATTCAGCACTCAAAAAGCCTGGAGGGACTAGACCTTTTGGAGAGAGGTGAGACGACAACCATCAGGTAACAAGCACACGGCACACGCTGACAAGGACAAAACTGTGAGGCTAAATCTTGACAAAAGAAAATTCGATGCTGCGCGACTTGTAATCAAGGAGATGATAGCATTCAAACTAAGTCAATATAGAAGGATGCCTGTCGAAAATGTCTGGATAAATCCGAAGAAAACATCGATAATAGCGACATGTGGCAGAACATACGCAAATGCTCAGTATCGAGGGCGGAACGAGAGAGCTACGAATTGCGAGAAAAAAGCAACGAAAAAAAAGACACAAAAGACGCGAAGCATTTTCACCATAGCAAGCGAAGAGACCAGATAGAGGAAAGAAAGAAAAGTATCTTAAAGAAACAACAACCAGAAGCTATGCACCATGGCGGAAGTTTGTCTCTAGTATCAACATGGAATGACAGTACGACAAATGGAGGCTACACTTTTATTTCAAAGTTAGAAGGCGATCTTAAAGACGGTAAAGCTCAGAAATATGTCAAGTAAGTTGACACAGCGCAACGCATCCCTGATTTGAGAAGTAATTGCATCAAAATTTTTGAGAAAGTCCCGAAAATCTTGGAGTATTTGGAATAGACACTCAAGTATCGTGGCTTTATCAGCCTCTGGCATGATTGTTGCCATCCATACTGTCAAAACAGACGGAAAGAATTGTATATTGACATTTTGGACTACATGTTATATGCAAGAGGAAAGTGTTAGCGATAAGATACCATATGACATCATATGGTTGGCATTACGAAAACATATGTATGGTGCGAATAACACACTCAGTGGGAAGGAATGATCAAGCAACCAGCACGTGCATACAACACATTACTATAAGACTCCAGAAAAGTGGCGATGTACACCAAGGTTCCGAGTTCTTCCTCTCCTCTCAAGTTTTATAGTGAATTCGAGCATTGAGTCTACAAATTCCACAGATGGAGCTGCAGTCATGTATTAAGCAGGATGAATGTAACCTCGATGAAAAGCGGGAACTTCACAAATGTTCTCTAAGACATGCACCACGTCAAGGCAGCAACTAGTCAAATATGCGTGTTCAAAACATTTATCAGCTGTTTTCGTGCAAAGAAGTCCGTATGGGTGGGGACATTCCAACTATCTTGGCGGCAGTGGTATGAATGGCTCCACCAGCCCATCGCTATTGGATGGCGACATCTCTCTCCCCGCCCAGACAGTAATTTTCACGTTCAGTATAGTCATTTTTGAGATTTTCTTTTGGGATCGGCACATTCAGAAGGCTAAAGAACGAAAAGGCTCTCCTTTCTTTAGATTTGTCAAGATATGCCTTTTGCTCAGATCAACCACGCTATGTTTCTGCCAGTGCTGGCCATACACATATATTGTGGAATGAAAAGTTAGTGTGATGCGATGAACTGCGATGTACCATAGGTGCCACACTAGCTAATATATCCAGTGATACTGTACGCTCCACGTGAATGTCGAAATGAATCGAAAGGAAGAAAGAGAAAAGACTACACGGTACCAGTGGCGGACCGAGGGAAGGCCCCCCCCCCGAGAATGGGTCGCGGAATTTTTGAAGCTTACCTATATGGGTTATAAAAATGTGCAAACGACTTGTTTATTTTTGTAAATAATTAAAATATCTTTTAAAATTTTTCAAAAATTCAAATTAGTCTTATAAAAAAAATTTTCGGGGGCGTGGCTGACGCCATCCACCTTCATCTAAAAAAAATTTTCGTCCCCCCCCCTCCCGGTCCGAAATCCTGCGACCGCCACTGCATGGTACTAGTATATAAGAGGAAGAAAGAAGAGAATAAAATCATCGTTAGATTACTGCACTGAATGTTGAAAAAGACAAAGTAAAACCTGATCTAGCATAGATACATAATAGGGCATTTCAAAGCATGAGATAAATGAAGTCCCACAATCGGAAGGTGTGGAGAAGGCGACAGTGATAGATGCTGGCTAAGCGAATTTTTGGAAAAACGAAATAAGATATGAGACCATATCTGGATCGACTACACACATTTTCATTCTCTCCCCGTCATTTTTGTGCTGTGGCTACATGGGATGGCAAGTTCATTTCTCTAACCTCTGCCATACCATGAAAATCAAAAAGTCCATCGATCAAATGATTTGACGAAATCGTTGTAGGCTGAAGATTTTAGATAAACATTCACATTGAACCTAAATGTTTGTGATTTGATGTTTATATTTTACAGCGAAACTGTAGAGCACATTGACTTTTTTCGCGCCGCAAAAACAGTAAAAGATTCTTGCGCAAATTTTTCCTTCAAAATCTAGAATGACGGATCCTTAACCTAAATATCATTTCTTACAAGGAAAGGATACTCTGTCACCGTGGCCATTTGAAAAGCGATGTACGCCACAAGATGCATCTTGAAACACTGATTTTGAATTTGCGCTCGGTATCTGCGAAACGATCTTCTGAAGGAAGTTATAAACTTCTTTTCAGCAAATTCATACTTTTAGATATTTCCACCGAACTTGATCTATTTTGCCGTTTTGTGCTGTAAGAGAATTTTAGGCAAAGTACTGCATTATTCAAAAGTACTGCATCATTCAAAACTATCTAAATGATATCCAGCAGTTGAAATGGTGAAAAAATTTTCTATTGAGGATTTCAACCCTCCGCAGTAGCGCAATTCATTCTTTAAAAAACAATCATAACCATCCATTTTATCGTTTCGCAGATATGGGAGACAGTTTTCGAACAGCATTAAAAGGCGCATTTTCTGATATACAATTCATTATGAATGGCCACGGTCACCAAGTATCATTCCCTTGTTAGTTTTGTGTATGTTTGGCCACCAAGCTATGCTAGTAATGAGCGAATTTGATCACCAGGATCTTATCAAAATCGGGATGCTCGATTGCCCAAGGAAGACGTCAGACAACCTAAGTAACAGATCGAATGCGCGACTTCTCATGTTGGAGAGCATCATCAACTTGAGTGTGCTGGTGCAATACAAAACATCAGTTTCTGTTTGTACAACCATTGGTCTCTGGTGAGAATCAAAAGAAATCAACTCGGTCCTCAAAATAGTTTCCTTACTCTTAGAAGTTTGAACTTTGACGTTGAATCCTTCCAAATAGCAATAAGTAGTCCACCTTAGAAGTAACTTCGAAAGAAAGTAATCAACGAATAAATAGTTCATCTGATGTCGATGTATCGGAGCCGTTTTGCTGTCTGTGATAAGCTCCAAAACAAATAATGTTGTAATAACAACAAGTAAAATTTAGATGACAAAAAGCTTTTTCGAGTATCAGATGAGAATACTACATCTTGTCGATTCATATTCTCGCACAAGTTATCCCACGGTGAAACTAAGTGAATTTCACTGAGAAACCATGTGAGAACGGGTTCAATGGATGGTTGTCTACAGATGAGTTCTGCTTGGCAGACCTCGAGGTTGATGTGCGCATGTTATTGTCATGGAAATGAAAGGAACACTTGAAAAAATACGGGTTTTTCTTATTCTAGTCCATCATATTCTTCCTACAACAGTAATCATTTTGCGAACAAATCATTTTGAAGATGGAGATCAGCAAGACACCGGTTCTGCTGAAGACCCTAGTCTTTTCCGCACGGTACTGTTCTCGTGCGCGCCTGACTGTGCGGAAGGCTGCCCTAACTTCGTGCCTCCAATGCTGGTTGATTAGCTTACAGTTAATGGAGGTCATGGCACGGCCTGCGGGTGCCAAGACGAGCACAGTCAGCCGTGAAATACGCCAAGTGGTCTTCATGAAGCGATCAAGGTGCTTCGAGAAGTCATGACGCCTGTTGGCTGCGGTGGGCGCCCCCTCTGAGTGTTTTTCGCTGTTGAGGCGGCGGCTGCTCGGTGTCGACGGCGCGCCTCAGCTGCGAATGAATGGAGCGACTCGGTCGTGTGTGGACGCGGCTTTCCGTGCGTCGACCCACTTTGCCGGCGGTCGAACCGCCGGAAGAAGATGACGATGATGATCTTCCGCACACGAAGAACGCAGTGTTTGCGATGTTCTCGGAGTCGACCTCGTCCAAACATCGTCAATCGGAGCTGTCTTCTCCTCGTGAACGAATGGATTCAGATTCAGGGACGCGATCCTCCGCGTCGCCTAATCGGAAAACGCGGACACCGCTTCCGACGGGGAGCAATGACACGACGACGACATCGGCTCCAAAGTCTCTCTCCTCGGAAGCGACAGAATCCCGAACAGGCAAACGTTCTCCTACTCCTAAGACTAGTCAGAACGTAACTGCACTAGGAGAAAAGCGCTCTGCGAGCTTTACAGAGGAGTCTACCAGCGTAATGCATACTACTACTCCCATGCAAAGGAGTGTGGGACATGTAAGTCAAGATTATTTATTAAACTATTCTAACCCATAGAATTTATTTGCCCAAACATTTCATAAATTGCGTTTGTCCACAGTTGATGTATGCAGTTTCAGCCATTTTCTACAAAACTTCTCGTCCTCGCTGCTATCTAATTTTCAACTGATCATGTTCACAATTCCGAAAATTTCTCTGTCTCTTTACTCAGATCTCTACAGCTTATTTTTGAGGTACCCTTTCCTGAAACTGCTTCTGCAATTATATGTCTTACGATCATGTCTCGTTCCCTTTCCAATCCTTACGTTATTCGCCTTACGTCAGAGAATATTCTTATCAGATGGACTTTTTCGGTTTTTCTATTTGTCACATTTTTTCCACAAGTCCCTCTCTGAACCTCAAATTTTGCTGTGAAATCTTTGAGTTGAGTGAGTTTCTGCCAAAAAGTAATCATGTGGTACGAACTCAAAAGCTTTCAGCTCTTATCGCGAACTGTTCTTTTGTATGAAACACGGACATGCGCACAAATTCTTGAAAGCTATGTCGTCAGATATCTAAGAGCATATTGTCTTTGCTGACGTACTTTAGCATAGGCAGTGGCGCTGATTTTCTTGGGCAATTCGCTCAGTATGAATGGACAAAACAATTTATTATCATGATTAATCTGCTTCGAGTAGCGTTTTCACTTTACATGCAATTCCATTGATGAGGTTATCTCCTGAAAACTTTTTCCAACGTCTGATCTGTTTCTCCTTCACTAAGGATATCATATTGAAGTGGAAACTTTAAACATCTTTTGTTATGATGCATGCAATCGAGGTTGTCCCACTACTATGTCGCTCTGTTTATTGGCTCACAAAACATGCTTTTACGTTACACTCTTCAAAGTGTAAGTAAAAATAAGAACATGATGCTGAGAGAGAGTTGAAGATTTGCTCGATAACACAGATCACAGGATGCAACCTTTATTAATGACCGGCCATCATATGATATGAAGGAAAAACCAAATCGTATCCAGTTTCCGTTTCTTTCCGGGACTATCTCATCGTGCTAGATTTGGTCTAGGCAGATGAGTTGCAAATAACATTCGTTGAGTAGGAAATCTTTCTGAACCACTCCAGAACAGCGCAAAAATTATATGAAGTACTTGTTTAGATCTAAGTTGTATGCTGTCCACAAAGCAACATCTTCAAATCTTCGGTGTATGTTATCTTTCCAGAATGCATCAGTGCGTATTACTGATTCCTCTGATGTGGTGAATCCTCGGCGGAACAGTGTATTCGTTAAACGAGGATCTGTCAGCATGGAACCCATCAAAAAAGTCTCCCTTGAGGACGTTTATCATGTTTATAAACAGGTTATTGATTCTAGCGGTAGAGCCACATGTCTTGACTGGTTCATTACAGCTAGGAACGGGACGATTCGGGTACATAAAGCTCGCCGAGCATAAGCAGTCAAAGCAGAAAATTGCTATAAAGTTTTTTCCGCGGCCTCAAATAAAGCAGGTCAGTGCTGTGTCAAGGAATTAAATGCGGATGGGCATGTTGATACCTTAGTCCTTTATTTTAGGTAGATTTTGTTAGAGAGTACAATTACTCTTTTTTCTTGTCTCCTCATCCGCAAATAATCGATACCTATGAAGGAATGTATCAGGTGAGTACGCTAAAGCAGCGAAGTGAAGCTGACAGCAATTGATAAATTCTTGAGCGAGTACTTTAGGTGTGACATCCTCTGACTGAAATTTCGCAGTTGTGATATAGACAGCAAGAGTACAAATTTTATATGAAAAACGTCAAAGCATACTCGGAAAGATGATTTCGTTCTCAGTCATGCAGTGGACTCTATACATTAACAAACTTTTGGCTGCTAGCACTTTCTACTTGTAGCCTTCCAGTCGGTCATTCCTTAAACGCAGTTGCATGAGAGTGTAAAAAAGCAATGTTTTGGCATGATTCAAGGGTCTTCAATCCATGAGTTCGTTTGGTGACCGACACGTGAATGAAAGGGTATGAGATAACTCCAAAAAAACGGGACTTGCAGGACTGAAAAATTCCAAAATTTACTACAAAAATTTTCTCAAGCTTCGCCTTCTCTCTAGGGTAAATTTTTGATGCTCTCACATACCTCCAACTCTAAGAAAATTCTTCTTTTTACGATTACGATTTAGGCATCTGATGAATCGGCGTTCTTCTTTGTTCAAGAGTTCTGCCCGAGAGCCTCGCTGAGGGAAGCTGTGGAAGCAACAAATCAGCAAGGTCTGTTGTCTCACAATGCATAAGTTAGCCGCTGCTGGTCTTTATGGGCGGATATAGAACAAGGCTGAGTGCTCACCATTCACCAACATCTGTTGTGTGAGTGGTTGAACCAAGTCAGATGCTGCTGTCTAATTACAGTTGCAAAACCCAGGCTCGAACATTGATGCCGACATGAAAATATGATTTTCGTACCATCATCTATATTTTTATGCAGGTATTGGGGAAGCGAATACGAAAAAGGTCTTCGCTGCTGTTCTTTCTGCCATAGAATTCATGCACGACGAGAATCTTGTCCATCGCAATCTCAAAGCTGAAAACATACTACTCTTCGACAGCCATGATCTTTCAAGGGTATGTCATGTTTTTCTCACAAATTTCGTCATCCTACTCGATCTCTTGAGCTTCTACGCATTCGCCCCGCTCTTTATAAAAATAAGTTTCTTCTTCAATGTTGCGATTGCCTCTTTCATGCCGCCGCTTCTAATTTTATGAAGTGTTCCTGAACTGTAGCTAGACAATGCAGAACATAAAGTTCCAGCATGTGCCGAACAGAGAAGTGTTTGGAAATGTTTGCCAGCTGATCGCTGTTGGCTTACTACGTGCACGTGATCGGCACAAACAATTTTTTCCACAACTTGCGAGCTATTTGCTATAAATTTATGGGCTTCTGATCACCAACCGATGCCATTCCAGTTGCTTGTTGATCTTCAAACAACCTTCAATAAAGTACAAAACGCAATGTCGTTTCTATAGATGAAAGCTAAAACATGTGCAGAAATAATAGGAGTAGATTTGAGTCCAATGATATGGCTTGACGTAATTTCATGATCAAATATTCTTGCTCCAGAATCGCCCCACGCTTAGCCTATAAAACCCCAATTTGCCTTTGCAGCTGGGCAAGGCCTGTCACATCGTCTTTCCTTTTGCTACTCTCTTGTATTCTGATATTTGACTGATGGCTATAAATTTTTTCGTTTTAGGCTAAGCTCACTGATTTTGGATTGACACGAAAAGTGGATACAACTGTGAAGTATCTGGAGTACGTAAACAACTACCACGCACCAGAACTTTGTGAGACTGTCGTCAACGAGGTGCTGACAGTGAACAAGAGCACGGATATTTGGGCTCTCGGTATGTCTGCGTAGATGGAATGACTCGAAATAAGACTAAGAGAACGCAAAGAATCCACAAGTTTGATTTTCACTACGTTATTGTCAATGTGTAATGTGCTTGAACGCAAGTTCATCGCCGTGATCGAAATGTGGGATGTTGATGTGTGTATGCGTGAGCGTCAAGGTTGTGAGCTGAACACCTGTTCATCGGAGAGAAACATTAGTGTTAGGATGCATAGGACAATGCAGTGGTTTCATTATCTGCGCTGGGGAATTGGGTTTCGGGGCGACCCCGACCGTCTAAAAAAAATGATCTTTTCAAGCACAGCGAAAAAACTGTTACAACGTACTCTTAACATTGTAGACTGAGCTGTCTGTCTCTGTGTCTGGGAAATCCGCAAAAAACCGGTCGGTTCCACTTCGAGAGGACGTATTTGTTTCAAGTCTAGATGCGCAAAGGCTTCAATCTCAGCTTCTGGGATTTTTGGATCATGGGAAACGGATCTACTCAATGAGGAAATCAACACAGAACTATTATACTTCACGCTTGCGATGGTCATAACTTCTTTCATTTACAATTTAACTCGCCCGTTCTTTCACTCATGCATTGATTGAGGCAGGTGCCTAAAATCAGACGCGATTTTTAAATCCCATAAATTCAAATTAGAGATCATTGATGGTAAACGGTTTTTGTACATCGACTTTCCTGCTCAAGTTGAATTTAGCAGAAACCAAAATACTTTTTCATTCACATAATGCTAGCTGCTTGTCCAATGACTGGCTTCGGTCTTCAAGAGCTGGGGGCGCCCACTGTAGGCCTGCGGAAGTGACGCACTTGACAGTACACGATGGTTTCTTAGTACATGCAGGGTAAACACTGACACTTAGGAATGTAGCTTATCTGAAGTCCTTTTAGCAGTAATCTCACTTATAAACAATGGTAGATTTCAAGGTTACGACCAGAGCAGCAAGACTACTATTAGTCTACTATTTCTCGTTTGCTGCCATTTTGGAACAAAGCGTATTTTGCAAATCGATACTACTTCACCGGGGATGTAAATCCTCGCTCTACCGACTGCTTCAAACACTTGCTGAAATATCTAATATCTCATGGTAAACTTGCAGAGGTTAAAACTTCAAAATCGTAGGACCCACCGGTTGATATTGTGAGTGTGTTAATGCAAGTACGTTGTAGAAAGTCAACTCTTTGGGAATTATTGGTCACTAAAACAAAAAGACTAAGGTGGGGCTTGCTTGTTCATCTCTCCCACAAATAGGTAAGTGGCTGAATTTTTTTTGGCAAGCTCATCAAGCTCTCTTATCTTTATCGAAGTTCTTCCGCACATATGAGGAATCGTGTGGCCATGTTATAGGGCAGTACTGGGCACAGTGTAAGCTGCTAATTTTTCATATGAAGGGTAAATACATTTGAGCTACTAAACGTCTTTCAATTTAACTTGAAAGCCATGCACGAAGACTATCAAAATATTTTTTCATCATAACATGTGATAGCGAACCTGGGATTTGAGCGATGATAGAGAATTTTAGGCTCAGGTTGTCATGATGAATTTCATTTTCAATGAGCTGTCAGATGAGGTCAACATTTTGTCAATCTTGAGTGATCTGTTCTCGGAAGCGATCTTCTTCGTATGATATTCATTTGACTTTCTACTCCATGTCATTCATGGAACTTTCTGCATCAGAGCATTGCGAACATATTGCCTACATCTTTCTAAGTTTATGAGGTACGCAGAGCTTAAAGGCAGCGTCTCGGCAGATTTTGCATTTCCATCTTTTTGCATGTTTTGGGCCTTCTCGACCCGTAGATCTCGAATCTGAGCTTTAAAAGGGGTGAAAAGGCATTTTTCGGGGCGTTTTTTTAATTTTCAAAAGGCAGCTCGGACGAGAATTTCAAAGGAAAGGGTCGGGAGGCCCTGGCACGAAGACCCTGCTGCCTGTAATTTTGGCTTTGTATAGCATGCACAATGAGGGGAAGCGGTGGGGGGGTCCCGCACCGTCTAGCAGAGAATACTCATCCAAACAAGGTGTCAGGGGAGCGAAAGGAGGAAGAGGAGCGGCGCTTGGGCCGCCCCCCTGGCTTGCAGAATTCACATTTTCGGCGCGGAGTTGCTGTTTTGGTTCACTTGGAGGGCCTCCTATCCATCTGTGTCAAAATCTGAGGTAGGGTCAATCTGCCGAGCCGCTGCCTTTAATCACTTTCAAGTCTTTGCAGCCAAAGGTTATGTGAGAGTATTGTATAGTTACAGCATCGAATACATAAGGTCTTGTCCTTGATTAGATTCCATAGGAAAGTCGCACTCAACTAAGTTTCGATCCATCCATCCACGTCAAACCAACCGTCAAAATTTCGTTGATAGTGCAGTCGGGAGGACCTTTCGCTTCGCAATTACGTCACTCCACTATTCTTAGAATTAATATATCTACCATCTGTTCTTTTTGCAATGTGGCCAACGCCTAGCATTCATTTTCGAAATCCAACCAGCTGTATCAAGGACGTTGCTCTCTTCCCCGAAGTGCGAATTGCGACGAGGTTGCATGTGTTGCTTGTACTTGATAACTGCATTCAATCGCTCTGTGCGTGATTGAAGGAGCTTCTGACGTAGATGCACTGTCAGCCACCTTCTCAACTGCGTCCAAATCGCATAGAGTACGCTCAAGTTGACAAATGTTCGAATCCAGGGAATTGTCAGCGGGTTGAAAGATTCTTTCAATACCTTCCTACTCCATTCTTGGTGGTCAATGAGAGACCAGTCGTCCGCAGTGAATATGAAAAGAACCACTTACCAGCTTGTATACTTTCGGCACACTCACAATCGCTTCAACATCTTTACTGTTACAGTAGATCCAGGCGTACGCAAATAGCTAATGTTATCAATGCAACTGTATTCTCTAGTTCATCGAAGAACAGACTGCATGAATCAAGAGTATTAGAGCTTTCGTAGTTTACATGGAAGCCGGAGAGGTAGGCGCTCTACCTGCATATTTATATGGACTCTGCAGGGTTTAGCTGTACTTTAAAAGGCTGGAGCCTTGCAAAATCTCTTCCTGAAAGGCTTGTATAGCCCGCTCAAGACCGCTTGGACGATCTCAAGGTCCTTGCAGTCGCAGTCTTCCTAAGCCCACGTAATCCAGAAGCAAAGGGAAAATTTTCGAAAATTTCTTTGGTAGAAGACTTTTATAGCAAAGGGGCACCGCGAGACATCAAGGCGCAGTGCTACTACTTTTTTGGGAAAAAGTTACGATACGGGTGGATGGACCTTCACGGCACCTTATTCGTCGTAGAATTCTGTGTTTTGGAAAAATAATGTCAGGGAAATCCCCACAGCTCTTCTTCAGGCTTCCACTGCCTTTTAGTGCTTCCTGCACATTTGCTCACAGCGGCTTCCAAAAATTCTCATGCAGTGCTTCTAGTCAGTCGCTCGAGATAAAATTCATCTACGTCTTACATAAGGAACTCTTCATTTCTCGAGCATTGACTTGGTGGTTTGGATTCGATAGATTTTAATTTTTTGACAAGTAATTGTTACGTTTCACTCTAGAGTCGCAATCCTCTTATTTGAATAGCCGTCGTGCGTGAAACACATCTTGACAGAGGTTATCCTATCTAAAATTTTCATAAGAATTTCTTCCCTTCGTGGTAGACATTTTGCTGCTTTCGACTAATCACACCTTTGCTTGCTCCGAAAATGACCTGAACCATTGCAAATTCTTGGACAACTAGAACGGGGGCAGAACTACGCATAAGATGAATGCAGTGAATCTGGTGGTTTTCCTTCACACTGCGTTCTTCTTTCTTCCGATGTTTTATGAATAAGCATCTCACAAGCGAAGGATGGTCAGTCGAAGTGGCCTTTTGCGATGATTTGTACACCATCTTGGAGGGCTTAAATTGCTGATTCCAAATCTGTCCTCCTTATCTGTGGCGCATTATTGCAAGAGAAGTTATGAGCGTTTATTGGAGAAAAAATTGAATGCGCAAATAATATGAAAACGGTGGTAACATTTTTCCTAGCGTTTAAATGGACCAGTGGTAATTTTTCCAGCACTCTTTAAAATAAATATCCTTGGGTGAGATATGTCCGCAGTTCGGCTGTCTCATTCACGCTCTGGAAAATTTTAGCAACCGTTTTTATCCCAGAAAAACATTTATTCTTTGCTCCTTTAAACGCTCATAACTCCTCGCCCAAGAATGCTCTGCAGATAAGGAGGACAGATTTGGAATCAGCATTTTGAGTCCTCCAACATGATATACAATTTCTTGCAAATGACCACTTCGACTGATCATCCTTTCCTTGTCAGAAGGAAGCCGTAAGATCCTTGCCTACAGATTCTATGCTCAAAATCGATCCCATATTTCTATTTCGACGGCAAACTTTGTTTTTCTCGTTAATTTCCCATAACAACTTGTTTATAGTAAGCTTTCGCTAGGTACCTCTAAATCATTTCGGTAAAGTTTAAGGTGAGATATCCTTTGTTGGAGTATAGTAGATGATTTTTTGACCCCGACGTGAGTGAAGCGGAAGATGTTTGAGCAGTCTAACAATCATGCGAGTCGAAAATGCGTACGATGGAGGGACAAGATAGAATTTTCTTCTCACCACTCCTTTTCTTAGAGCGTTATGAGCATGTCTAAAGGCCACTCCCCCCTCCCCTGTCGATCGTTTTTTTTTCAGTCCAAATGTCCTGCTCAACTCCCCTCGGCCTTGTTCATATGAAGATAATACAGGGACAATTATTACTTCGGTGAATGAGTGTAGAAAACCCTTAGGAAAGGACAGCCTCAATAGGACATAGTCTTGAGTGGAGACTGGATTGAAAAGCGGAAATTGCAGTTTGAGAAACATACTCATAAGAAAACCGCTCACGGTGATCACTTTAGCTTATCGCATTTTCTCGCTATCTCCAGGCGATACGCCACCGTGAAACTTTGTTGAAGAACTTCGTGACTTCTTGACGGTTGAGCATTGGTTCGTTTCTTGTTCGCCTAGAGTGGAATTCTCGCTTGTATTTGGCAAAGAGCAAGACAATATGCATCATATTTGTTGCTTAAGTGACCACGCAGGAATGGAGTATTGCATGGAGCGAAAAATTTTATACTCAATCTGTATGATCATATTTCTGCAAGTTTTATCCCTAAGGCCACACCTTCTTTTACAAATTTCGGTACTTTTTCGTTATCCGAACCCATTTTTTCAAAAGGCTCTCATATTATACGTTCTTTAGTCTAAGATTAATTTTTCACAGATTCTACGATGACTGCCTCCTTGCCACGTGTCAGAAAAAATTGACACGTTTTGGTCCATTCTGACATGTTTTTTTCGAAATCATTTCCGGTGAGATAAAAAGAGAATTTGTAATCATTTTAAAGCTGTTTGACTGTTTTACATAAGCACAAAACAATCATGAACTTATTTTAGAACATCTTGCTTGCTCTAGCAGTGTTTTAAAAATGTATCTCTCTTCATACTCTTTTCGCCATGCGAATTTAGCCGAATAAACTACAAATGGTAGCCTGAAGTACTTGGCTGCTACTCATTTCGGCTCCTAAATTACGGAATCCTAGCGCACTTCTCTATCCTGAACAAGTTTAATCTGTTCATCGATTATGTTATTATTATGACAATTTGACTTCTGACTTTCACTTTTGAAATGTTTGGTCGAAATGAGGCCAAAATTTATCGAAAAGCAGATTGAACTAACATCGCTAGGTAGGGCAACACCAACTCTTGGTAACCTGTTAAACGTGTAGATGGCATGTCAATTTTTTTTGGCACGTGGCAGAAGGTTGACACTCGTTCCTATGAAGCTGGGACAAGATGTGATACAAGGATAGAAGCAATATCTTTCTTTGAAAAAATGGGTCCCGCTCCCCCTTTTTCCCCACCCCTTCACATAATAATACCCATAATCTATTGCCATCCTTTTCAAGCAGTTTCAGCAAAAATTCGCAATCACGACTTATGCTCTTTCCAAAAACCATAGCGATACTGCTCCTTCTTTACTTTGCTTGTACGAGCAACCTAAAGTGCATGAGCCAACGGCAAAGCCTTCGCTCACACTTTGTCTTGATTAATAGATCCACCTTTTTTGCCAATTGTGGAACTCATAAAACTTCGTATGCCAGCTGTCTCTTGCTTTCGTCATAATCTTAAAGTATGCGTTGGTTACAAATCAGCAGATATAAATGGCTCTAGCGGCTGCAAGCTTCCCCCTGTTCTGTAAGAATATCTTGATTTACAGTTAGTGATTTCTTCGTGAAGGAAAACCTGTATGACAGGAGGTAAATAATCCATTATTAATTATTTTTGGAGTGCAACTTACTCATTCGCAACGAAGCTGTACATTCCTTTCGAACGATTCGCGAACTGCAGGTGCAGCGTGTGCATTGAGCATATTCGGAGATTTGATGAAAGGTCCTGAGCTATTATTTCTCGCAGTTATCAAGTTCAGTTATAACAAAAATTTGAAGTTTTACTGGCTGAATGCATAAGGAATCTGCAATGCGGTTCTTAATTGATTTCATCTTTTCCTTTTTTCCTTCAGGCCTCATTTCCGCAAATAAGCGCTACATCCGTATTAATGAATGTAACTTAGTTGGCTCTGCCTCTGCAAGATGGAAATAAGCTTTGGATCCGCAAAGGAAGTAACATAACTTCAATATGCATAGAACGGCTAAGTGCTAACACCTCCACATATTATTTCAACAAAGAAAATATCAAAAAATCGAAAAGCTTAGAAATCATAAAACAAGTTCTGGCCCTTACATATGTCTGTCCTAACTTTCATACTTTAATCTTTCGTGACTTTTATTCAGTTCTCTGTTGAATAGGAAAAGAATGTGCGGAACGTTTGGGATGTGAGCAAGAGGTTTCAGCGCTTACAATCGCTAATGAGCATAATAATTCATCGATCTTTGCATCTAACTCTAATCTCTAACATTTTCATATTGTTAACAGTCCAAAAATGCAAGTAGTTCAGTAGCGCATGAACATGACAAAATTTCGCCATTCTGCATTTTCCTCAAACTTCTGGTCACTGAAGTTTAGATTTTTCAAGGGCAAACTAGCATTTCACACTTTCTTTTGACGATAACGAGATAAACTCATAGAGTTCTTCTGTTCAGGTGTGATCTTCTACTACTGTTTGAGGGGACGATTTCCATGGCAGAAAGCGTCGATCATGTGCAAGCCGTACTGGGAATGGGAGCAGTGGCTGAAACGAAAGAATCCAAATCTTCCTAAGCGATGGATGCCTTTCAGCGAGAAAGCACTGAAACTTCTGAAAAAGTGAGTTCGCTACATTTTTGTATTACGAAATTGTAATGCTGGTACCATGGAGTTTGCCGTGGATTTGTCGATATTTCAACACAATCGTAGAAATGCTCCTGACTTCCATCACTTGCTAAGCAAACAAGAAGAGCATACAGCCGCGAAAGGTTAGAAGATATATTGTAAACAATGATTGGAGCATATTCATGTTCCTCATCATGACAAAAGCCAGATCAGAAGCTTTTCCGTCTTTGAGCATCCCGTGCTCAAGGTAACTCGCCAGATTATACCACCGAAAACACAGTCAATGCTGTATGTCTACAAATTCTAGGACTTGACGCGATTTTCCTAACTCATTGACTTGATTTCCGTGAATTTTGGATCAACTCGAGATTCCAAAATAATCTACCTTTCCTAGTTTTGGTAAAATGCAAACTATCATTATTATTGTTTGCAAGATCTATTAGCAATAGCAATTCCTGAAAGTTAGTCTAGGGTAAGCTGCACAATGGAATGCATGCATACCCACGAGAACAGCATAACTTCGAGTATAGCAGTGAGAAGAAGAGCAGGAAAAACTGAATGCTACCTCTTCAGAACTCTCACACCACGTGCGAAGGATCGTTGGACGGCAAAAGAACTGCGAAAATGTATAGCAAAGGAAAAATTGTTGAAGCCACCGAAGGTAGATGAGCCAGCATGAGATCCTTCCTCCTTTGCAAACTTCAACGTTTGCTCAACCAGATGTAGCACATCCACACAACTCACGTCCACTATCCTATGCCTCTGGTTTTCCAGCTTACATAGCTGAACATATTGCACAGTCTCCTATGCTCTCTATCACTATCACTTTCCACTGACGTTTCTTCGAACTATGTGATGCTTGCATGTAAATAATTTACAAAATCGTTAGCAGTACCAAAGTCATTCAATTGAACGGAGATTCAATAGCTATTCTTACTTCAGTCTATAATGTATTTTTTCGAGAATATTCTATATAAAATAAATGTCGTGACCACTGTTGTTTGCGACCGTCGAGATCAAGCGATGAAGCAATTATGATGCACGAAAGGTGAAACTTGGTGGTTGTGTTTGTGGCTCTCCGATTGCATGATTTGTCTAATCTGCTCAAGCATGCGAGACATACTTATTTTATTCATCCACTTCGAAAAAAGTCGTTTAGATCCTGCGTTTTGTTTTGAAGATTAAGTGAAGTAGATGAAGAGGATAAGTAAGGCGCGTGCCTTAGTTAGACCACATGTCTTTTACATCTCGTGACTAACAAACTGTGAACTGCGTGGCACCTTTCTCACATGCTCTGCTTTTAACTCCGTGTTTTAGGAAGACGATGAAGATGTGTTTGTGTATGTGCCCAGTGAATTTGTTAAGGTGAGAGGATGGGTGCTTTTTATTCGATCCTCTCGTTGATGTTCGCAACAAAAATTCTCTTTTAGCATGACCAAACCAAAGATGATGGTAAAAAAAGAAGCGCGCTGCAGCACTGGATCAGTTCGACTCTATCTGCGATGGCCGAAATCAGCGAACAGGTTGTTTCGGCTCGCGATGATTGAATGTGTGTGGGCTTCAAAGCTCTTTTGTACTGAACGCGGAACTCAACTCACTTCGCACTCGATCACATGGTTCTCGTTATTGTCCATATGTGTGTTATTTTATAATTCTTGGTTCTGGCATTCGACCAGTACATTGGCGATCCTTCTTTTCTCAATGCAAAACCTCGCTCCTTTTTGCTTTACTGCTCAAGGTTCACTATACATTGTCTTTTCTGTGCCAAGTTCATCAAAATATGTAGGTCTTCATAAGTTATGCCTTTCTGAACGATACTGTGTTTTGAGGCGAACATGGCTCCTTAACTTCTATTTAACGAGCCTTGATATAATTTCTTTACTGATATCTGCCCCGAGTTCGCCATTTCAGAAATTGTGACATATTTGAATGTGGATACTTCTCACAAGAAAAAAACATTATTGTCGATAACATTGTTACTGTGAATAGAAAGTTTAGAACCCAAACAGGGATTCCAGTCTGGGTGCCACAGTCGGCACGGCTCTGGTCTTAGCGAGCCGCATGCCCTCAGCAGATACGGTTTCACGCTTTGGATGGGGAAATGCCGTATCTTTAGGCACCAACGGCTAACGAGCTTGGCAAAATGCCCTGCGACACGTTTACGAATACGTTGAGTGGCCCAAGCGAGGCGGCTCGCAAGGATCTGAGCCGCGCCGATCGTGAGACACTCGTATTGGAATCCCCTGTAAAAGGACTCATAGTACACAAACGAAGATGCCTTTGCGAGTTGCCGACTTTTTCAAGATCAGATGCTACCAATTCATCTTACCGTCTGCTATCTTTCGAACAAGACCATCTTAATTGAGCAGCGGCGTCCAGTTTTTGCATGCAATGAATAGCCCAAACATTGCTTTACTGCTGGTTCATAACTGTGAAAGTCACTAATCCGAATTACCCTACCCAGTAGTAAGCATAACACATCTCAACTTTCTGTGGCCCTATTTACCGACGAAACCAGGGGGTTCCGTTTTTTGCAAGCCCACTGGGTAAGATCGGTATTTACAAGTGCCAAGCTGGGTTCGCCAAACCAGTATGTAGCAGTGTGCTAAATGGCGTTTATAAACATGGCCTCTTTGCGGTGAATTTATATGAATGACGCATATACTCAAGTCAGTTTTTGCTCTAATTAGCCATAAACAAGTGAGCAAATACTAATTACAAACGCAGAATCGTTACAAGAAGATGAGTAAAATTGCGTTTCCAGTCAGAACGTATTTGAAAACATAAATTTATTGGACAACTGCCCGTTTGCTTGAGGTCTTCATCTCTTTATAAGCTTTTTGAGGAAACGAGATGTGTCGCAAGGCGACACGCGATCTGTATAAGGGACTACAATCGCCGAAAGGGGCCCTCGCGAACATTTGCAACAAGTGTGCACTCTCAGTTCATGCATTAGGTGTATATCTGTTGCAGATGTCCGCGTGGACATCCCAATCTGGCGACATATAGTCCTCTCCTACCGCGATTGTTCTGGTCGTCTTTGGTTTGGTTCATATCGTAGAAATCTAGGTTCATACAAGAAACTGGCCAGTCGAAGTAGCCAATCCAAACAAGATGCATACCATTAGATGCAGCATAGAGCTGACTCCGAAACTGTCTTCCATATCTGCTAAACGCCTCTGTGCAAAATCGTGCATGCGAAGTGCAAATTTGGGCTCACAGTTTCAGGTTTGGCGTAATGCTCAGCCAAAAGACACAGCTTAATTACTTTATATAATCCATCCATACCGAAGTGAGCTGAAAAGGTCGGCGTCAGCGTCTGATCATTGACCATTCCTAGCTAGATCCTACCCAAACTTGATGGAGGGCTAGGGGGGGGGGGGAGGGGGGAACGGTAAATGCGGTGATCACATTCAAGATAGAGTTCATCAAGTAGGTGTGGAGAGTGGAATATTAGTGATAGTCCCAGATTTCCGTTCGGACGTGGGGGCGACAGAAACTTTCTTGTATAAGGGGGGTGGTTTTGCGATGCTGCACGAAATTCTTGCGGATACTCCCAACCCCAAAATTTTGGAAGGGGCTTGGGCGGCACCTACGTCCCAGAAAAAGAATTTTTTACAAGGTGGTTCAAATTTTGAGAACTTTTAAGAATTAACTCAGTCATTTAGGGCTGCATGCCCTAACATCCCCGCTGGGGAGGGGAGGAGTTTAAAAGAGAGCTTCCTATTTTGAAGCTTTGCATATGCGCATTTTTCGCTGTTTATCCATCCGCAAGTGTTCCTACAACCTTTACAAATATATTGAGCAGGAGCGAGAAGTTGTATGAGCCGCATTTTTCAGCTCTTTGTATGATCCCCTGCTGTTCATTTTTCTTTCTTCGAAATTAATGAAAACATTCCAGTTTTGTACTGATCAACTGATCCAACAGTGCTAACATGTTGATGAGAACAATTGATGTATCAAAGTCATGAAAATTGCGATGAACCACAGGCGAAAATTGGGGTTTATCAAGAAAGTTAATTTTTTTGAAAAATCCTCTGTTCTATCAGAAACATGCTTAACACTGTTGAGCCAGGTAACCGGTATAATTCTGAATTTTCATAAATTTTCAAGAAAAAATAATCTTTGAGAAAAGACGGTCGAACGCCTGGGGTCATACAAAAAGCTAGAAATTGCGGCTTATACAGCTTCCTCCTGCAAAACAAGTTGCTTGCATGAAATCACATTTTGTAAACCTCTTCATAACTTACATAGTTCTTTTTTCAATTTTCACTCACTATTAGAGCGAGCACAAATTTGTTGCTGTTGCAGCAATAGCTATCTCGCTAATGCTTATGACTGCGTGATGAGCGCATTCTCTTCTTGAGTACTCAGACAATCGCAAAAGAAGCTCCGGAGCAAACTGAACTTGTAGGCCTTCCGGAGCGGACGCTGCTATTGGTCCGTGTGGCAAAGGCTACACGGCTCATGCCACACGGACCAATAGCAGGGGCTCGACAAGCTCAGTTTGCTCCGGAGCTTTTTTGCGATTCTCTGAGTAGGGATTTTTGAGTATATAAAATAAATAAAGTTTTCAAAATATGAAAAAAAATATTAGGTTGTCCCGAAAGTTTTGTCGGTTTTTTTTCATTGATCACTGAAACTCACAGAATACCAATCCATGGGCAAGCTAGCTACCATTTGATTCAGATTTTTATCCTCTTTCATACGGCTATATTTTCTCTCTGATCTACCCTGTCTTTGCAATGTTATCGCTATGTTATGTTATGTTTTGAAAATTTTTATCCTGATGTTTTCAAAGAGCGCTGGTAATTGTTAGGTAGAGTAAACTTTGGCTACATTTTATCCATTTTAGATTACGTGGGCCACTACCAAGTCCGTTATAATTAATTATTTAATAAAAACCGCGACTTTTTGATTACGTTTAACACGTAAAAGTACCGTAAAAGTAAAAGTATTCTGAAAAGCTACTTTTTCAAGGCAAATTAAACTTGGTCATGTTGCATAAATAATGTTCAATATGAATCATTTTTCAATTCGCAGAAACTTTGAAAACTTCCGTGTATTTGCTGCAGTTGCGTGTTTCATGACTTTGCCAAAAATCGAGACCTCTTAAATAATTTGTTTCAAGCTAAAAACAACAGTTTAGGAGAAACTAAAAATATAACCTTGTAGTCCGAGAATTGCTCTATTAGAATCATACTTAACCTTCTTGAAAACTTCAAAATGAAATTTTTTGAAAATTAGCCGATATTTGAGCACTTAAAATTGGCGGATGGAGAATTTTAACAAATATCGAAAAAAGCATACAAGATTGTGGCTCGAGAATGTATTCGTAAGAAAGAGAAGAAAAAGCTGCATCGAATGCGTGTTGATATTCATTGAGGTGTTTATTGTGCGTGGTTTTATAGTGGTTTGAAAAAACCGACAAAACTTTCGGGACAACCTAATATCAAGGGAAGGTCAACATAATCTCACTGTTTCTTACTAATTCGTAAAAATTGACTTTTGAATATATTTTGAGATATTAGCATTAGCAAATATCAAAGTGCTTAGCCTCTCTACAAATTCACGCTACGAAATCTTCCAAAAAAACTTGTTTGCGACTTTTTTCGAGATACTCGAGTTTTGACTGGTACCAAGATTAGCAAACCTTCTGGGCGGAAATTTTTTTCGTGTTTATCCGTAAAAAGTTCCCAAAGAAGTCTAAATAGATGAATAGATAAAAACTGTTCCTAATACGTAATGCTAATAATGACCAACATCCAGCAAAGGGACTGGGTTTACATGTACATCAGTGGCCGTATTCACCAACCAACCCATTGGTTCTGCAACCCAGTGGGTAAGCAAAAGCAGTGCCACTGGGCGGCATCGAGATGTATCGATATTCGGAAAAAGTGCTGGATTCGCGAACCCACTAGCTTCGTGAATACCAATCATGTGGGTTAGGCCTATCATCTGGGTTCCGGAAACCTATTGGATTCTTTGATGAATACGGCCACAGGAAATGTGCACTATGTTTGAGATCGCTAACCCATTGCTCAAACCCACAGGATCTGAACATGAGTAACTTTCTTTATTGAATACCGGTATGTTTGGCTTTTAGGTTCGCGAACCCCTTGGGCTCGTTCGTGAATACTGAGTGGCTTTTTGTGGGTTTCGGAACTCAGTGGGCAGCCTTAACCCAACGGGCTCCGCAACAAGGGTTCGTTGATGAATACGGCCACTAAAGAAATAAAGGCTTGTTCACGCCTTTTCCAAGCCCTACAATTTGCACATGCAGGCGTAGGGTTCGTCGAGGTCAGACGCAGAGTTGTTGTGCACCCGGATTGTAAATGCACAACAGCAACACAAAATTTTTGACTTGCAAAAATTTATGCAAAGGTAAGTCAAAGAAGATTTTAAAACTCATTCATCATTGAAAACAAGTACTTATCCTGTAACCAGGGTCAAGCGTGTTGATGCGATCCGGGACCCTCATTTACAACCCCCCCCCTTGAAGGCACCAATCCGTACGACCCCCCCACCCCCCCTCCCCCATTTATCCCCCTTACCTCCCTTGCCGAAATTCCTCGCGGTAACCTGCATAAACGAATGTCAATCTCAAAAAACACCTGCTTGAGAACATCAGTGAGGTTTCGGAAGCAGAATTTCTAGGCCAGTGGGTGCATCCAGCATCTGTAGCACACATACACACCTTTAATAATGTTTGAGATTCTGCAAGTTTTTTTTTTGAATTTTCAGGCATACTTCAGACCAGCAAATTCGATTCCCGTAGGCGACACAAATTTTTGCACGGAGAAAAAAATGACGTTCTTGAACGACAAAAGATGTTTCGACTAAGAAGCTTACTTCCTACCTCTTCCAAAGTTTTTCCCGCGAAAAAAACAGCTTAAGGCCTTCCAGAACGACGTCAAAAACGTGCATGAGCACGGTA